GCCTGGTGGCCACCCTGCACGAAGGGGACGATTTCGGGCAGCTGGCGCTGGTCAACGACGCCCCGCGCGCGGCCACCATCCTCCTGCGCGAGGACAATTGTCACTTCCTGCGCGTGGACAAGCACGACTTCAACCGCATCCTCAAGGTGGGCCGGGGGTGGCGCTCGGTCCTGGGGGGGGATTTTGGGGGGATTTCCCCAAAAATTGGGCAATTCCGACACCGGGAGCCTCCGGCAGGACGTGGAGGCCAACACGGTGCGGCTGAAGGAGCACGGGAAGGTGGTGCTGGTGCTGCAGAAGGACCTGCAGGGGGGCAGCGGCCAGGCGGCCTCGGCGCGGAGCAGCAGGTGACAGCCCTGTCCCCTTCGGGCAGGTGGCACATCTGTCCCTGTCCCCCTGGCTATCGGTGACACCCCTGTCTCTGTCCCCCTAGAGCAGGTGACAGCCCTGTCCCTGTCCTCGGGCAGGTGACACATCTGTCCCTGTCCCCCTAGAGCAGGTGACAGCCCTGTCCCTGTCCCCCTCGGGGCGGGTGACACCCTGTCTCTGTCCCCCTGGCTACAGGTGACAGCCCTGTCCCCTTCGGGGCAGGTGGCACCCTGTCTCTGTCCCCCTAGAGCAGGTGACAGCCCTGTCCCCATCGGGCAAGTGGCACATCTGTCCCTATCCCCCTGGCTACATGTGACACCCCTGTCCCTGTCCCCGTTGGAGCAGGTGACACGGTGTCCCTGTCCCCCTGCTGCAAGTGACAGCCCTGTCCCTGTCCCCCTGGCTACAAGTGACACATCTGTCCCTGCCCCCTGCTGCAGGTGACACCCTGCAGGTGACACCCTGTCCCTCTCCCCATCCCGCCACTCCTCCCCCCTCTCCAGCCTCCCTCGGGGCAGTTTTTGGGAGGGGACAAGGAGCAGGGACACGGGCACACCGGGGACAGCCGCTGCCCACTGTGGTGGCCCTGCCGCGGTGCCACCTCGGCCCCTCCTGTCCCCGCCAGGTACCTGGTGATGGCCGGGACGCCCGAGAAGATCCTGGAGCACCTGCTGGAGTTCATGAGGCTCGATGCCACCCTCTACGACCCCGTGGGTGGGTGGCGATGTCCCCAGGGCGGTCCCCGCGCCACCCGGACAAGGGGCTGGGGACACCCAGGGTAGCGGGCGCGGGGCGGGGCTCCTCATTCGGGGTGTCCAACCCCAAATCCTGCCCCTCCCACCCCAAAATCGCCGAAAATCTGCGGGCGGGGCGCTCTCCGTCTCTGCCTTTGGAGCGGAGCAGCCGGGGCGAGCCGGGAGCCAGGAGATGTCCCCAGCGGGTCGCAAATCCCGGGGATTTGTGTCACCGCCGCCGCCTCGGACACGGCTCCTGCCGCTCCCCGCCATTCCCGTCCCATCCCAAACCTTCCCGCGGGGTTTGGGGACAAAACCCGCCCCGGCCACCAGCGGGGACACCCCAGGCCAGCCCCGCCACCACGGGGGRTGCTGTCACCGTGTCCCCCCCGCGCTGGGGACAGCAGTGACGGTGTCCCGGTCCTTGCAGACACGCTGCTGGGCGATTTCCTGCTCACCTACACCGTGTTCATGCCGACCTCGCAGCTCTGCCGGGCCCTGCTGCACCAGTATCCTTCCACAGCCGCAACTGGGGGGACTGGGATCCTTTTGTCGCGCTGGGGACACGCTCAGCCCCGTCCCTGTCACCTCRGGGGGAGCCCCAAATCCTTTTTGGAGCTTTTCGGGTGCATCTCCCACCCCTGGGATCCCATCCCAGCCCCTCCGCGCGTTTCGCTGGTGTCCTTAACTGGTCCCAGTTTCCGCGCGGAGCCGCTGGAGGGCTCGGAGCAGGACAAGGCCGCYTATTCCCTGCGCAAACGGCGGAAAATCCTGCGGCTCGTCAGCCAGTGGGTGCTGCTCTACGGGCGGCTGCTGCAGGGCGACCGCAGCACCACGGGGCTGCTGCAGGTGAGGGCAGGGTGACAKYGGGGACACCGCGGGGACACGGCGGGGACAGCCCCGCGCTCACCCCTCGGCCCCCTGTCCCCGCAGAACCTGGCGGACCTGGCGAGCCGCGACCCCCGGTTGGGCGGGGAGCAGGGCCAGGAGCGGCG